GTGGTGAGTTCTAACGGCGCCACGCGCCGCGGCCCAACGATATCGGTGCGTTGGCGCCCCGAAGGCCGCCAACACGCGTCATATAACGACAATGTGTGTGCATGTGCATGTCCGTGTGTGGTTGTATGTATATGTGTACATAAGAGCCCATGTGTATATGTGAATGTGCATGTGCGTGCGTGTGCACGTCCGTGTATATGTATGTATTTACATATGTGTAACTATACATACATATATATATATAAATGTATATACACATGTATATGTGTGCGTGTGTGCATGCACATGTCAATGCACGGGCGCGCGCGCGTGCGCCTGCGCATGGTTGGCGCAGACAAGGAAGGGCCTAGCTACGCAGACATAGACGGGGATCTACACACATATGCAAGGGGAGATGCGGTGCGATATAGAGTGTGCATGGAGAGAGGGGGGGGCGCGACGGGGGCATAGCGAGGGGGGATATAGCGTGCGAGGGAGAGCGAGGGAGGGAGAGAGAGAGAGGGAGAGAGAGAGAGAGAGAGAGAGAGAGAGAGAGAGAGAGAGAGAGATAGAGAGAGAGATAGAGAGCGAGCGAGTGGGATAGATGGATCTAGACTGGCGTTTGCAGGGCGGCTCAGCTGGGGGGGGGTCAAGGAGACTGAACCTACGAGATTGGGAGGGGGGGCGGTGATGCACGGGGGTGGGAACAACAGTCGGTTGCCTAGGGTCGTGCCCGACACATTCGGTGCGCACGCGCGCGGGGGGCAATGCAGATGCGGGCTTGTCCGAGACAAAACGAGTTAACATTTTTTGTTCATTGAGCGCTCTGGTTCATAAGTCGACCCCCCCAGAGGCCCGAGAATATCCGAACTCGACAATCCTGGCGGCACCACGGCGACACAGCGCGCGCTGTCGCCATGCACAGACACGGGGGGCATGGACAATGGCGACACATGGTACACTGCCGTCCTACCTGGACACGGCGAGGATTCGAACGCACGTTGCAGTGTCACACTTAGCCAGACGAGAGCAAGTCATCACAATGCATTCGCAGCGCCTGCTGCCTGCACTGGTCCACGAGCCAGGCGGAGTTCGAGGCGTTCAGCGTCAAGGAGTCCACTGGGCCCTCGGAGGAGGCAGCGCGGCAATGCAGTGGAGACGGGATGAGAGTGCATAACTTGAGCATGGGGAAGTGCGCAGAGCGACTGAGGCAATGGATAATGATGTTTCGGGCGGGATGTATCAACTAGGTGAGTGCACGCATCAGCGCTATGCCCCCCCTCCTGCAGGAGGGGGGCGTAGGGCTGATCTTGTACCTTGTCTGTTTCTCCATCCTGGCTGATCTCCCACACCGTCGCTCCCCGCTGTCTCCATATCGCGTATCTCTCACTGCGTTGCCGCGATGATTCGCTTATCCCGTCCTTCTTCTCCTCTCCCCATATTCCATTCCTGCATAGTCTATCCCGCCAGCCCTCTACCTCCTTTCATCGCCCCTCCCCGTAATCCCTCCAGGCTGGCCTCAAATGCCTCTGATCTCCACTGTCTTCAGAACGCCCATCTCCCATGCCCGATGCACCCGCTCCTCCCTAAGAAAATGAAGAATGGCAGGCCTTCGGGCAGATATCCACGATCCACTCGGGGACGCCGTTGTTCAGGCCCACGGACGCCATGGGTCCGCAGCCCGCCGGTTCGCAAACTCAACCGACCCAAAAAAGTTGCTGTTGGGATTTAGTACTGCTTGAATCTGCACACATTGAAAAATCGATTCCTCGAACGTCAACCTATGTGCCCGCTGGGCGCAGCTCCTGAGCGTAAGGTTCAGTGTTTCGTCAATGAACGTGGAATAGAATTGTACATTGCCCATCCAGTTGCTCCTGGCAACATGCCTCATCATGTAGCACGGGGGCGAGGGGGCATGCTGCTATGGTTATCGGTCATCGCTGGGCCGTCGCCCGCGTACCACCCGAGAGCCATGACATCATGTCCCCTCCGCCCGTGTCACGTTGAGATATGTCGCTCGTCCATGTTCCTGACAGTCGCGTGGGCGAACAGGTGGTGCTTTGGCACGAACTCGATTTTAGCATCTGCTGAATATATAAGAACTTTCTTGCAACTGTCCATTGCTTTCTGGTACTGGGGGGCGGTGAGCACAGTGTCTGCGTTCTCGAAAACGTCAAGCCACTCGTCCATGGCAGTCGCAGCAGCTAAAAGACGCTCCCGCAGTGGCATTCCAGCCCCCTTACCTTCCAATTCCCACCTGGTGAAATCCATGAGCACCCTCGATTCAGCAGCCTTCGCTTTTAACATGGTGCCTGGGTGAAGGCGGGCCCCGTCGTCCATCATTCCGCGGTCAGAACCGAGCATTTTAATTGTCAGCCCTCCCAGGCGACGGTCATGTGCAATCTGTTTCTGGTCGAACCACGTGAACATATCAGCTTCTATGCGTTGGCAACACTTAGTATAAACCGTGTCTTTGTCCCCTGTGTATTTCCATGGGTTCAATTTAATGAATCTCCACAATCCCGTGCTGGCCCACCGAGTGATGGGGCCGTAGTAGACTGTGTGCAGACTGTCGATGGCCGTTGTTGCAGGGCTCGTCCCCCATTCTTGCTTGAATAAAGGGCAGCGGTGAGCCACCGAGTCCATCAGTCGGTGTTTCTCGTCTTTGTGCACCCTCCAAAATTTAGCGACGCCTCTGAACCCTACCTTATCGATGTTTCTGATGTCTACCATCCCTACGTGAGGTTCGAGGCGGTCGCCACAACGAAGGCCAAGATCAACGACATCGTGCTTCAAGGCCCGCCCGTGGTTCCCCGCGCCCTCTTTCGCCTTGTAATATACCAGTGCTCGTACAACCCGAATGCGAACGTCTTCCGAATCGATTCGCACATCAATCTCGCACTTCTCGCACGCGCGCTCGTAATCCAGCAACGTGCGCTCTGTGAACATCACGCCTCCAGTGTTCATACAATCGTAGCACGCGTGCATGTTCGGCTTGTCGGTCGTACATATGGGGCACGGGTTCAAAATCTTCCCCCACGATCCCAAACCAAATGTTTTTGCAAATTCGCTCCAATCGCCCTTAACATATAACAACATGCACCTGAACCCGACGTCGTGTTGCCCATTCATCGCCCCTCGCTCCTCCCCGTCAGCCCAATCACTACCGCCCCACTTCTTATCGGGCACCTTCCCTTGAACAAGTGCGCCGATCACCCATGCAATGTACGAAAGAAATACAAATACTGAGCACCACCCATTACACCCGCACCTGCACGTGTCGAGCTGACGCAGAACACCGATGACATGACGTTTATTCGTCAAGAGGTTGACGCACGTCGCAACGAGAATGCTGTCACTACGCCCAGCCTGCAGGGCCGTGAACCGCACGCCGTCCACATAGACGGCAAGAGGCAGCGGCAACCTCCCAGTCTCGTCTGCACATGTCTTCGTCAGTACGTTGTCTCTGTAACATGGTAGGTTAAGTGGGGAATTCGGGTTCTCGTAGTCTCCGTTTTCTAGAAGAGCAAGTGCTTGTGGTGTCAGGGACATCTCCTTAGCTACTGATGCGTATGAGAATGTAAACGGTACTTTCCTGGAACCCTGCTCTGCATGACCACGAACGTATGACGGCATTGTTACACGGGTGGTTGGGCACGTCGTTGGCAACATTCTGTTCAAGTGATGCTTGTATTTGCCAGATTGGTGCCCAGGGGCCATGCCATAATCCTCGAAGTACGCCCCCTCAACACCAGCCAAGTGTAAATAGTGACACATGACGCACACATCCTTTGCAGACACTGGAGCACACTGCGAGTACATGTCCAAGATCAGATCGAACAGTTTCGACCCCGCCTGTCTTGGATCGAGCTCGGGGGCACTCGCATCGGGGACACCATGGCGTCGTCGTCGTCGTGGCGGTTGGTGCATCATGTTCGATTGGCGAAACGACCCCCCTACGGAAGAAGTTGAGCCGAAACTTCGACGTCGTGTACGATTTATTGATGCATCGCATTTCGATCGCTCGAACGTACCAGTCGCTGACAATCCAACGTCGCATCGCGTGTGCTTCGGTAGACACAAGTACATGACATAATGTGAAACGTATGGTGTGAGCACGTACGGTTATGCATGCGCGTATGGTTGCATAGCCACGCATGTGCAGACACGTTAATCATGTGCAGTAGGTACCTAAAGCACTCACCGATGTACGTTTCTCATCGCCCCTCGAACCCTCCCGCCACCAGTGCAAACGTCGGCCCAGGCGGGCCCCCGATCTCTCGACTCCAGCAGTCGCGTCGCTGCTGGAGCACCGAACGGCACTGCCCCGAAGCATACATTTCGCTGGTGCAGCCCTGCACCTCGCCTGCAAATGCACCCAGCCAGGGGCCTATGCCAAAAGATTGAGGCGCCATCTCGCCAGCGCCGTGCACATCATGATGTGCACTAACTCAACTGCAAACTCAACTGCAAACTGTGAGCTCGGGCGCACTCTGCATCTAAAAAGTCTACGCAATCACATGTACAAACACACCTGGCGATGTCACCAGTGAGTTCACCGGTCGTTCACCGGTCGTTCACCGGTCGTTCGCCGGTCACCGTTCATCGCTCGTTCACCGGTGAACTATGCGTTTTTCGGGGATGTATCGGGCGGGAGTGATCTCCCATCACCGCTCGTTCACCGGTGAACGGTCATGTGATTCACCGGTCCGTTCACCGGTCTTTCACCGGACGTTTCTCTTCAAAAAACAATTCCACACACGTTTAACAATGTATGGGGCTGGTTTTTTGCAGAGAAACGTCGACTCACGACAACCAGAACACAAAAACGCGCTAGCAAATGCACCCGAGCTCGATCGAGCCGCACTCACATCGAAAACTGAGTGCGGCCAATCACTAACATGCTCTGGCTTGCACCAAGCGGACTCAAAGGTATCCCCCCTTCCTGACCCTCCAAACATTTCATCTACATCCTCCCTTTCTGACCCTCCAAACCCTTCATTCGTCCCGCAAGGGTCGGCTCAGGCTGACTGGCGCTGCCGCTTGCCCGCCTTGCTCGTCTGCTTCTTGATCTGCTCGAGCGTCTGCTTGTGCATGCGCAGGATCCTCGACACCGCCGTCTGCAGGTTCTTGAGCGGCTCCTGGGAGCCAGCAGGAGAAGGCGCGCCCGCCCCTGACATGCTACTCTCTATCATTTCACAATCATCTTCCCCATTACCGCCACCCCTGATCCCGCTCCCCCTCTCATCAACCCTCGACCGTCACCCCTCATCTCGTACCCCCCCCCCCTCCTCGACCCCATACCACATCTCGCAGACATCCCCATCTGCATCATCATCCTCGGCATTCCATGTCTTCATCGACCATCCCCCTCATGTGTCATCGTCTTGTCCCCCTCCTCATCGCCCCCCTTCGTTCAGCGCCGTGGCCCCTTTCTGAAAGTTCACCTCCAGCTGGCTCGCGCCGATGCGGGCCTTCATGTCGCCGTAGTCGTTGACGGCCAAGAGCTCCTTCAAGGCCGCAGTGCTGTTCACCGCTGTCTGCACCTGGCGGACGCCCCACCCGCGAGCGCCTCTCCTCCTCCGTTACCCCCGTCAGATATTAGCGCGCCTACTACGCCACGCACACACACACACACGCACACGAACACTTACACACGCGCACGCATGCACACACAACAACACACGTGCATACACATACACAAATATCAGAAACAGTCCCGAACATCCCCTCGCTAACCCCCCGATTCGCCCAGGATCGGCGAGCTCGCGTTCGGCCCCGTCGCGGCGCTGCGGCCAAGGACGGACGCCGCCCAGCGGGAGGGGGCTGGGCAGGCAGGGGAGGGCAAGCGCGGGGGAGAGGTGGTTCGTAGGTGGCGGAGGTGGGCGAGCGCCACGATTGGCTCGATCGAGTGGTCGCGCATCGTCGCCCAGCGGGGTCGATTTCATGCCCGTGGCACCGTCTGCTGGGCACTCTCCAGCGCCCCGCGGTTCTGCTCGTTCTTGGCCCAGTCCCACTCCGAGTTCGACTCGATGACGTCCAACGTCGTGGAGGTCTGCTGCATGAGCCCGCGGAACAACGACTTCTCCTTCTTGAAGTCGGCCATCGCGACGTCGAGGGACGTCTTCTCTCGCTTGACTGGGGGCTCGCCGTCGTCGTCATCACCAGCCTCCTCACAGGCGCCCCCCGCCTCAAGCTCCCCCGCCTCGGGCGCCGTCGTGTCAACCAGCGCCGCCTCCTCATCCGCCTCATCATCGCGAGGGGCTGCAGCGGGCCTCCTCATGACTGCAGCAGCCTTGCCCTTCGACTTGGCTTTCGCCTTGGCGAGTGCACCGCCGCACGTCGATGCACCATCGCTGCCGTCAGCCGTCATCGCTGATGACCCTGCCGCGCCGCCGCCCTCGAGGCAGAGGGCGTCCTGGACAGGCTGCGGCGCATTGCACCACTCCTCATGCGCCGTCCAGGCCGTGACGTACTCGTCCGAGATCTCGTGCTCGACGTAGTAGAACTTGAGCGTGTTCGTCATTGAGTCCCACTTCACCCAGTGCTTGCCCAGGATGATACAATTCGTCGCGTACGTGGTGGCCGCCTTGAGCCCGTCCTTCCCTCCTCCCTCCTTGTGGGCGATCCTGGCCAGCGCCAGGTACTTCCCACTCAGCTTCTCCGACTTTCTGTTCGTCGTCGTCTTCGAGCGCCTCTCCCAGAACTGCTTGTAGCGCTTCTCGCCCCAGTCGGCCCTGAACTTGGCCTTGTTCGGGAGGCCGAGCGCGTTCTTGTAGTCCTCCTTGAGTTTGCTGTCGGCCGCCAGCGCGCGGTTCCACATCGACGATATCTTCTCGCCCCGCGTCTGGAACATGAAGCTGCCGCGCTTCAGCTCCTCCCACATCTCCTCCTCCTCCGCCATCATCTTCGCCCGCTTCTCAGCGGCGTCGGCAGACGCATCGCCATGGCCATCGGGACCTGCGTCGCCGTGCAGGAGCGCCCGAAGGTTGCTCATCACACCGAGGCCGTAGCAGTTCTTCAGCTTGTCCTGGAGCGCATCCGCGCACAGCGCGTCAGCACCCATCTGAATAGCGCGCTGCGCGCGGCTGAGCTCGTCCAGCACGTCCTGAGGGATACACGAACCAATGCATGGCGGGGCGTCGGTGAGTTATAACTCGTTGACGTCCCGCCATGCATGGCACTGGTTCGTGCCATCTCTATATATATATATGGCACGAACCAGTGCCATATCTGGCACGAACCAGCGCCCGTGGGGCGTCGACAAACGTTCGGTGAACTATGGGCGTTAACGCCCATAGCTCACCGAACACGCGTCAACGTCGTGGGCCCAATGAGGGTTAGTGCTTTTACTATCTGAAGTCCTGCTTGTAGATGACGCCGCTTTGCACCTTGACGTCCAGCACCGCTGGGGCGCTGCCACCAGCGACGTCGCCACCGCCGACTGCGGGGGGCACCTTGCCCAGCAGCGAGCTGGCTGGCACGGCAGTGGCCACGGGGCTGGCCTTGAAGCGGCAGGCCGTGGCGATGTCCTCTGCCGTGATGCCGTCCACCACCTGCGAGGGAATGTTGTCCTCGCGGGAGGCGGGGGAGAGATGGCACATCCCCCCCGTCGTCGTTGACCCCTACCCTACTCAACTCACCGTCGTCGTCACTGCCGTCGTCGCCATCGTCGTCGCCGTCGCCGCCGTCGTCGTCGTGGTCGTCGTCATCGTCGGCACCACCACATCATCCCCACCCTCCTCAGCTTAGGCTGAGGGGAGTCATCTTCATCATATCCTAGTCATCCTTTCCTTGACCCCCAGCCCCGTTCTGTCCTTGGCAGCGTCGCACACCGCGGGGAAGGGGGTCTCCGTGGTGTCCTCGATCGGGGATATCCGCTGGAGGAGCCGATCGACCCTGGCCACGGGGGCGGCGGGCGGCGGCACCTTGAGCCCGCGAGCGGGCGGGTAGACCTCCGTTGACGTCGAATGCCATGGCCCCAGCTTGCACGGGGTCTCCGCCTCGGCTCCAGCTCGAAACTGGGGCAGGCACGGCGTCTCCTCCTCACCATCACTCGGTGGCGACTGCAGCAGCTCCGACTTCCAGCGTCTCCTCCTGCCGTCGGCCCAGGACGCGGGCTCTGGGATGATGCCGTGCGCCGCCAGGTGCTGCTTCGGCGTCGGGGTGGCCGCGGGCTGCGGGGGCGTCGGCGCGACCACGGGCGCCGCCGACATGGCGGGAGCGGTCGCGCCCGCCACTGGGGCCAGCACAGGGATCTGCAGCCTCTGGGGCGGCTGGACTGTCATGCCCGCCGCTGCGTCGGCTGCCTCGTGGCGCTTGGCATCCCTGCAGGCCACCTCGCCCTGCGCGATCATCGCGAGATCGGCCAACCTAGCCGCGTCGTCACCCTCCCTGACCTGCGACAGCATCTTCGCCAATGCCGACACTGCGGCCCTCCCGCGGTCCCAGGCGCTGGCATCACCAAGCGACGAGAGATTGTCCAGTGCCTGTGCGAACGTGTTCTCAGTGTCTGCCTGGGGCTGAGGCGCGGGGGGAGGCGCGCCCGTCTGTCCCAGCGGAGTTGCGGGAGTGGGATCGCCAGCGACGCCCAGCGGGGCGCCCGCGACGGTGCTGGGCGTCGGGGGGGGGCAGCCGACTCCGTCGGAGAGCAGATCGGGGACCGCGCGCGATCCCGCGCGGCCGCCACTCCGTCGGCGAGCGTGCGCGCGGGCGCATGGGCGCGGGCGCGGGCGCGGCCACATCGCGCCGCCAGCGCGGGCGAGGGCGGCGCCGCCTCGCCCCCCTTCCGAAGCGGCTGCCCGCGCGCCTCCGAGCGCGGGCGTCCTCCAACGTCCTCAGCGGGCGTCACCTCCTCAGCGGGCGGCTGCACCTCCTCAGCGGGCGTCACCTCCTCAGCGGGCTTCACCTCCTCAGCGGCGCTGGCGCCGCCGCCGCTCCTGGCGGGCGGCTTCACCTCCTCAGCGGGCGTCACCTCCCCAGCGGGCTTCACCTCCTCAGCGGCACTGTCGCTCCCGGCGGCCCGCGCGGCCGCGACCTCTGCGCAGCGGCGCTGGATGAAGTCGCGAGCCGCTGCCGCCCCCCCCTCGATCGGCGCGGCTCCGACGGGGGCGAATGCGGGCATGCCAGGCAACGTCTCCGCGAACATGCCGACGCTCTGGCTCGTGGGGGCCTGGTCCTCCTCATCGGTGGAGCCGCCGAGGTCCACGGGGTCGACGGGCCGCCCGTCGGGGCGGATGCCTCCATTCTTCCCGCACGGTCTCGAAAGGACGGAGCACGCGGGGTCGAACGTGTAGTGCTCCTCGCTGCCGCAGGCAGCGCACGCCATGGGCGGGGGGCCGTCGGACATCTCGGGCGCTGGGCTGCGCCGAGGGGGACTGAACTGCTTGCTGCGGATGTAAGTGCGGATGTCCTTAAAGACGGGTGGGGAGCTGGCGGCCCGCTTCGCCATCCAGAGCCTAAGGCATGTGCTGTGGGTCGCAAGGCGATAAGAGCGGGGATGAGTTGGAGGGGCGCTCACTGGGATATCGAGGGGAAGGGGGGATGGGGGGGGAGGGGAACGGGAATGCGATTGCAGGGAGGGAACGTCGAGGGCGGGGATGGCGACGCGGTGCTCCTCTGGCTGAGCTCACATTCGCAAGCAGTTATGGGTACATCGCCCCCCCTCGCGACACTACCGAGCTCAAGTCCACAAGCAATGATTGACGATTCGCATATCCCCACCAGCTCATCCTACACCAGGCACTCGAACGAAGAGCGCCGATGGTCGGCAGCTGTTACCCTCCTCTCTTCCGCATTCTCCTCCGCCTTCTCCTCATTCTCCTCTCCCCCTCCTCCCTCTCCTCCTCCTCCCCCTTCTCCTCCTCGTCCGCCTCGTCCTCCTCCATGGTGGCGCATTGGAAGTGTCTTCGAACGTTTTGGTGGGCTTTTGGGCTTTGCAGACGGGCGGGCGGCGCTCCGCCCGCCCGCGCGCAGGGCCCAAGAGGGGGCCCAAGACGTCTCTCGAAGCCATCTTGGAGGAGATCGTTCAACAAAGGGGGGTTCCTAAATTTCAGCCCCCCCCCCCCCCAGGAGCCACGATCCTCGTGAGGGGTGTCGATATTGGGCGATCTGACCGATCGCACCCCCCCTGTCCAGGTCAGTGGGGAGGGGGCAGGGGGAGGGGTAAACCCCTCCCCGAAAGGGAAGAACAATGTGTGGAAGATGAAACGCGCTAAACCACCGACGCTCAGAGGGCTGGTGGGATTATGGGCGCGCGCGTTGCAGCGAGCACCCCAATCCCCCCTCCCCCCCGCATTCCCATCCCAGCGGATAAGTGAATGTCGAAGGCCCGTGCTGCCCCAATATCGCCCGACGGCTGACTTCACCGCGGCGAAGCGCCCACGCCACGCGAATGCGCGCACGCCCGCCCCCCGCCCCCCCCATACACAAACATCACTAATATGGTAGTTGGCGGACACACGCGCGCATCGGGCAAATTCAGCGGCCGCTGACGTTGCCCGATGCGGCGCGAGGACGGTGCGAGACGGTCACGGATTGCCAGCCGTCGGGTTTCACCGATGCTGCGACACTCGACCATTGTTGCAAGTTCACCAAATTGCCACCCCCAGGCAACTGTCGCGGGCATCGTTTCTGATCGGGCCGACGGGGATACGCGAAGCGTCGGGGTACGCGAAGCGTCGGGAATCACACGCAGCACAATGGGGTGCCAGGCGTAACCTCTCTCACGGGTGCCACGCGGGCGGGTGTACATCACCTCGCGCGGGTGGCTCACATGACACATCGCACGACGGGTGCACAGCACCTCGCGCGGGTGGCGTACATGACCTCACACGCCCAGCGAGCGGCCGTGGGTGCCGAGTTACCTTTCGCAAGTGCGAGCTCGCGGAGTCGCGCCAGTCGGCCTGGCGGCCCCGCAGGCGTCTGACGTCGGGGCCAAGCTGGCAGCACGGTCGCTGCGCCCCGCACCGAACTTACAGAAACGAAGGTGTGCGCCCACCCGCCTCTCTCCAGCCTGTATCCTGCCCCGCCCATCCACCCATGACGTCATGTCATAACACGTGCTAGCCACCCCTCCGCCCCCTCACCATCCAACTGCTCCCCATGCATCGGCCGACCGACCCGCGCACCCGCTCCCACCATGGCGCCGCGAGGAGCATCACCACGCGTAGTCCGTGCACATGTCGGGGATCACGTCGGACGAGGCCGCGCCGACCGACGCGCGGCCTCTGGCGGACGGGGGTGGGCGCCGCATCTGATGCTATCCTCATCTTACACACCTTTCTGAGTGCATCGTCTTACACGTCGCATCTGTCGTTTTCATCGCAGTGATGGTCATGCCCCGCATCGCCCTATCATGACCCGCCGCCCCCTGCGCACAATCACCCCCTTCACCGTTCACCCCTGCATTCCGCCCCATCCACCCACTCGTTCATCCCGTCATCCATCCATCTACCCTCCACCCATCGCCCTACGCATATCCAGGCAGATGCCCGCTTCCCCACCCCGCGCACGCTGCATCCTCTACCCGACTCGCAATATCTCTTTCGGCGAGGAGGCAGGCGAGGAGCGAATGCGAACCCCCGATGCTAGCCTGTGCCAGCTGCAACGTCGCCCGGCGGGACGTTCTCGATCACCTTCGCGATGTCGGCCGCGCTCTCGTCCTGGGATGGCGCGGTGAGATGCGCGAGTGGATCGGTCGAGGGGCGGGTGGACGAGTCGAACGGGCTCAAGCGCGGGTGGGAGGGGCGAGAGTGGACAGGGCGGACCGTGGACGCACGGGCGCAAGCCCAGCCGAGAAGAACGCGGCACCGCCCTTCAGACGCGCGCTCTTCTCGGCGGGGCGTGCCGAGGCCACTCGGGATGACGGGAGGCTGGGTGAATCAGACATGGGAACATGCACATGCGATGCCACTCAGGTCAACACACCAATACTAGACTCATCCCTCGATGCACCCGCACCGCCACTAACCCGTCGATCGGTCACCACATCCCGTCGCTCATTCCACCCCCACCAACCCACCGCTCCGCCTCTCCCGTGCATCCCCGCTGCCCGCGTCTCACCATCAGATCTTACCACCCACGCAGCCGCGTCCCTCCACATCACCC